ATTTAACAGTATACAAAAGAAGAAAGTTTAAGGGAACAAGACCATTGTTTTTTCAAAGGTCTTGAAAGTACTTTTTTCAGGAAGCATTCTAGAAAAGAAGGTAAATAAAACCTTGACATTATTGCTACTATTGTTGTTGATTGCCATTGAGTTGAGCATGACTCATAGTGACTCTATGAACAAAAGACATGAAGTCTTTCTATAACTTGTAATTTCTCTAAGTTCATAGGGTTTCAAGAGGCCTGTTGTTTAGGAAACAGATGCCACTCCTGCTTCAATGAATGATAAAAAAGAAAGATTGAATAAATAACAAAAAATGTAGCCTACATAACAAGAATGTTTTTTTCTAGAAAAAGAGAGAACTCTTATACTATATCTATACCTGTAAAATGAGTGTAGGCATCATAAGGATGACCATGTTTGACTTCTAGTAACTCTGTGAAGGCTAACCACACCATTAAAATACAAAATAAATAAATCAATCCAGAGTATAGAACTGTTTCCTATAAAGTAAGGCATTGTCCCCCATGCTTCTGCACCACTTCTACTATTCCAGCACCATCATTAACTCAAACGAGTCTAAAATCTGTTGTGATGATCACACAGACTTCACAGAACCATACTCACAGTTGTGAAATTTATTAGAGAAGTTAACAGAAGTTAACAGGCTATTATATAGATTGGCAGAATGATACAATCCTTCTGTCCCAACAGCTTCTCCCATGTGTCTGCAGCCCCTTTGACCTTCAGCCTCATTTCTTAGGTCATTGTTCCCTTGGTCTTGTCTGTCATGGTGTGGAATCTTTCACTCCTCTAGCAGGGATGAAGGGTGAAGGCCTTTGGCTCTGGCTCCATGAGGCAGCAATCTCAAGTCAGCTCCATCTCTTGTTTGGTCTCTGGTTCTCTGCTGAGATTGCTATTACTCTGTTGTAGATCTCAGTCTGGCTGATGCAGGGAATCCCTACCCCAAATGTGTACTGCTTCCTTTTCTATCTTGGTATTGAGAGTCTCAATTTCTGCCAAGGAACATGCCCAGTTTAAACCTTGTGAGATGGCAAGACTAATCAGTCCCTTTGTGGATAGACTCACACATTTTATTTGTATGATCTCAACCATCCACATGGCAAAGTCAAAGTCAATGGCTAGAAAAGACTTTTTGTTAGTTTTTTAGATCATTTTATATTGATTTGCATATAAAATTCATATACATTATGTTTCACGCTGTCCTTAATTCACACTGGGCACTGTGTTTCATACAATGATTTCCATTCATTGTGTTCTATAGGAAAGCTATTTAGAACAAGCAACCCTTGACACCACACTGTCCCTTTCTGCATATTATGATCAATTATTATTCTTGATATTCTCTTTCTTTGGGACTCCTGGAGGAGTCATGTATGATATATGGGTCATATATGATATGTAATAGATACCCTGAGCAACATTGATAATCCCTCTAAATGAAGGGACAAATTATATTTTATTTACAGTTTCAATTTGTTTTCTGAGAAATATATTTGTCTTTTCTATTGTGACTTGAGTTTCAACTCACGGAAATCCTACAAGTTTGACTCACCTTCATTTCTATGCCAACCCTTATACTCCTTCAGACATACATCCCTACTTGTGTTGACACGCAACCAAGACTCAAAAATCTCAAAATCATTTCCAAGCTTTTCTTCTCCCGTACTTGATATATACAATGTGACATCAAGTCTTATAAACTCAACTTCCACTTTTATTTTTATCTCTTATTTTGTATTTCTTTTACCTAACTCAAATTATCCTGATTCTAGCTATCATTAAAATTTATTCCAATAAATCTTTCAACTTTTTCAGAGACACCAACTTTATTTAGCTAGTCTTTCCACTCAGTTTGCAACTAAATGCCCCTGAAGAATATCATTGGTTATTATACTTTTACAATTGAGTCTTTATTCTTGTTCCTGTGGTAGACAATGAGAATTACCTGCTAAATATATTCCCTTTAATCCTTATTAAAATGCATTGGTTTTGTTGGGCATAGCAAAGTTGTTGTTATGTGCCCTTGAATTAAGTACACTTTATAGTAACTCTATGAGCTAAAGATTGACATTTTTCCCTAGCCTACGTTCTCATAATCTTTACCATGCTAAATCTCACTGAGTCTATCCTTCTACTGATTGTCTCCCTCGCCTTCACGTGACTCTCTACTTTCCCAAGTCTTTGTCCTTTTCCAAGGATTGGTGACTCCTGACAGCATGCCCAAAATAAATGAGCCAAAGTTCCTCCATGCTTGTCTCTCTAAGAAACACTCTGGTTACCTTTCTTACAAGACAGATTTGGTTTTCCTTTTGACAATCCATGGTATAGTCAAAAGTTTTCATTACTACCACAATTCAAAGATGTGAATTCTTGTTCTACCTTCCTTATTTACTATCTAATACTCATATACATATGAAGCTATTAAAAATACCACTGGTTTAAGTAAGGTGTAACTTAATCTTTAAAAACATCTTTGCTCTTTAGCACTTTAAAGAGTCCCTAAGCAGAAGATTTATCCAGTTCAACAAGTGTTTTGATCCCTCAACTGCTGGTATCACAGATTGATCATGGATCCAATTAACACTATCATTGACAACTTCAGTCTTTTCTTTTTTCCATCTGTCATAATGTTGTTATTGATCCATCTGTGGGTGATTTTGGTTTTCTGATGTTGAAATGAAACCTATATCGAAAGATACAGTCTTTGATCATGTTTAGTAAGCGTTTCAAGTCATCTTCACTTTTGAAGCACAGCAAGGTTGTGCCATCAGCGTAGCATATGCCTTTGATGTTCACCACATATCCAGAATAAAAAGTAAAATGTATTTTTTTCTATTTTACATTAGCTAGATGTGGTTAGATGCAATAGTTTAAACTAATAAATTGTAAACGTATGTCTGTTGTGTACTTCTAGAAAGGTTTTTCTCTCATAATAGAGTACTAAAAAGCAACTCTGTCAGTCTAGAGTCTAAGCTGTACCTAATTCAGGCCATGGTCTTAGTAATTACTTGCTATGCATCAGAGAGCTGGACAATGACTAAGGGTGAAAAAAGAAGAATCAGGGTCTTTGAGTTGTGGTGCTGTAGAAGAGTATTGAACATACCATGGAACACCAAGAGAACAAATACGATTGTCCAGGAGAGGGTGAAACCAATTTGCTCCTTTGAGGCAAGGATTTTGAAGCTTCATCTCCCATACTTTGAACATGTTGCCGGGAGGGACCAGCCCTTGGAGAAGGACATCATGCATGGAAGAATAGAGGGACAACACAAAGGAGATCGACTGACACAGTAACTGGGGCAATGGGTGTAAGTGTGATGGAGACAGTGAGATTGGTTTCAGGATAAGGCAGAGTCCAGAGCTATTATGCAACGGGTTGCCATGAGTCTCAGACAACTCAATGGCACATACCAACACAACAACATCCTATTTCTTAGGATATTGCTACATTAATAGCAGAAAATGAGAGTATTTATTGGGGGAAAAAAAGTAGTAGTCATTCATTCATAAACATGCCAAAATATTCACTGATAATTGTTTGGTAAATATATGCTATTGACATTAAAGATACAAATATTAATAAAGGATTATGCGTTTGATCAAGGAATCCATAGACTTGACAGTAAGACAAACAAGAAAATTAATAGTTAAAATGTAGCATGTGCTATGACAATACTATGATGTATGTGATTGTTATCCATCCGTAGGTGTTGCCATGAAAACTCATAATAAATAGGTGCTTAACTCAGAAAAAGAATCATCAGAAGAAATGGCGTAGAGAAGAAACTTGAGGCAATTTTTTTGAATGGAGTAAAACATAGTAGATATAAATAGATATTGAATAAGCAGAAAGTAAAAAAAAATTGAGAGAGTAGTTATCACCTTTGAAGCTCGCTAGTGGACATATGACTGAGGGAAGCCCAGGGTGTAAAGACAGGGCTGTTAAAATGTGTGTCTAGGACTGGAGGTAAGGGTTAAGTGTAGAAAAGTCTTACATTACTAGAAGTACAAATATGGACTTTATTCTTGGAAGTTAAGTGTCCTAAATTGGTTCTTTTGACTATATACTTCATTAACTAAATGACTTCTATTAAGTTATCCTAATTCTGATCACAAAATGTAAATAAATCTAAGAATATTCTCATTATCTATGATAGCTATGACTTCTGAGAGTCATATCAATTCTCTGAATTGATAAAATGTTTTCTGATGTCACCAGAAAATAAGTTAGAGTTGCCATTGTTTGGTCCTATTGAATCAGCTCCTACCCAGAAGCCACGTACAATACAAAATCAAACCAGCATTGCCTTGTCTTAGACCATCTTCACCTATCGGGGCTTCTCCTCCTTTAGACTGATCCTATTTTATCAAGTATGACATGTTTTTCCAAGGATCTGTCCTTCTTGGAAATATACCCGAAGGTTTGTCATTCTCACTTCGAAGAAACGTTCTGGATGTAATTTTTCCAAGACATTCTTTGGGAAATCCATAATATATTAAATAGTCTTTGTCAACACCATAATTCCAAGGTATCAATTCTTCTTAAGTCTTCCTAATTTCCTAACTTTAGCAAGAATATGTAGTCATTTAAAACAACATGGCCTGCATTAGCCACACCTTAGCCTTCAAAGTTGACATTTTTGCTTTTTGATAATGAAACACATACCTTATGGAATAGTTAAACACTCTGTTACACAGTCTGTCACTTGATGATTTCTGCTGCTCCTATGGGCATTGAATGTGGATGCAAGTAACATTGAATTCTTAACAATGTCAATCTTTTCTCCATTTGTCATGGAGAATTTGTCATGGGTCACTGTGAGTCATAGTTGACTCAGTGACATCTAACAACAACAACAGCATTTATGGAATAATTCTGAATTTGGAATATCTGCTAAGAAAATATGGACATCAATTTTTTTCAGTGTCTTTTCAAGAACTTATCATATATATCTATAGTCAACCAGGGGACATACATGCCACTCCACGTTGTCATCTTCTTCCCCAAGTGTTAGCAGTGTGGTAAATGGACTTCTGATGAGGCCCACGTCACTGTGGGGAGACAGGTTTCCATGCCTAACTGGAAGAAGAGGAAGAACACTGCTTGGTGCTGGAGGGCAAGGTCGTTTCAGAGTCTGACTGAGAATCTGATGGTCAAGGGTCATGAACGGTTTCACTTGCTGTCTTTGGGTTTTCTGTAGCTGAGTCCTCCCAGGATTTTCCAGATGGGCTGAGACCTAAAAAAAAATAAAAACCAAATAAACATGATAAATAATAAAAGAAAGAAACCAAGTGTAAAAAGAAAAAGAGTGATATGAGGATGGTTATATCTGATCTTTATCAACTCCACAAAGGGGAACTGTCTTGTCAACAATATTAACAACACAAAACCAATTCCATGAGGTCAGACAGGGCACACACACACACACACTCACTCCTGCACTTCTTTCTATTCATTCCAACACTAATCTTGCTGCTTTACTGGGTCCAAAATCCATTGTGACATCTCACCGACCACACAGAACCATATTAACAAAGTCAACAGGCTAGAATTCAGGTTAGTAGCAGAATTCAATCACTCAGTCAGGACAACTGCTGACATGTGCTTGCAGGTATCTCAGCCTTCAACCTCTTCACCATGGCTTCAGGCCAGTGTTACAAAACTTAGTTCTGCAAATTACTACAGATCTTCCCTCCACCCTTACCGCATCCCCCACCCCTCACCCCCGTCATCAAAGAAACCTGGGGGAAAGCAACAGTGAGTGTAACAAGAACCCCAAGCACCTGCTGTGATTTACCTACAAATTCTTCCACCCATGTTAGGATTGCATCTCCTTTACACTCAAAGTCTTGCCTTTATTGGGAAAGGGCAATTTTAAATATTTCAGCCTTTCCCATTAAAAGCCTATGAATACAGTATTGCTTGCTTGTCTTCTTTATATTTACTGTGCTCTGATGCCGCTTCTAACACATGTGCCTCAAGTGGCCTCTCTATAAGCCTATTTAATATTTCCCTCATGTTACACAATAGTAAAGATTGCTGTTCAGTGCTTATTTCTCCTTTTATTTCAGTTGCACAAACTACTCCTTAAATCCCTTAACATGCATTAGCCCAGATAAATAGCCTCTACAAAGTATTTTGCATTTAAATTAGCTGGTTTGGGGTACAATATTGTAGTTGTTACTTTAGTTTAATTCTGTTATGCTGACATTTTTAGCATTATTTTAATTGTGCTACCATAAAATAATTTTCCAGTCATATAAAAAAGATTAAGATTGGTAATAAAGATTACACGTATTACTAATTATATTGCTATGAGCTTTAAAGTTGTAAAACAACATTTCATTAGAATGCCTGTGGGAGTTTTTAGGGTAGTTATGTAGATTATCCTCCAGTTTAAAGTTAATCCTTCTTAATCTGTATACATTTAAAAAATGTATATTATAAATAACATTTTCAGATTTTGAAAACTGATCTTTTCATACAATATTATAGAATGCTGAAGAACGTTGTTTGCCTACACATGAAAAATATCTCCTGCTCTAAGGAAAGAATGTTGAATGGGAATCTATTAACTCTAAAAGTCTTTATTAGAGTAATTACTGTATTTTGTGTTTTATCAAGAGTATAAGAAAATTCATAGATTTTGAGCTCAAGGATGTAGGAGTTTCTAAGGTAGTTAGGCTGTTGTGATAACAATTACAGAAACAACAGCCTTGGTAATACGTGTTGTTGTTTACCATCAAGTCAGAACCAGCCCATAGCTGACCCTCCGGTGGGTTTTCAGAGGCAGTTAATTGCATGGAAGGAAATTTTCCATCCTTCTCCTGTGGAGCAGCTGATGGATTAGAACCATATGCTTTAGGGATTGCAGCGCAGCTTCTTGCCACTAGGCCACCAGTGCTCCTTATGGCAATACAAGTAAGCAATATATCACAGGCACTTCTTGGGAAATTTCCATGTGTAATTTAATCTTTGTTGTTTTCTTGTTAGATCAAAATAAAGAAGGCAAAACTTTGGAACATAGTTACAAATTTTAGTGTGAGAAAGGCCCTACAAGAAGACTATCTCCTCTTCTGAACATGTTACACACAAAGACAGACGAAAATGCAACAAATGTGTTGGTGGTGTTGTTACATGCCATTTTAGGCAGCCCCAAATCCTTGGACTGATTTCAAAAAGACAGGACAATTGAGCAAAGGCACCAGTTTGAAACAATGTGCAGCCAATTTTCATAGTGTTTTTTAAACAGAAAATACAGTCATAAAAGACAACAATGCATTTCTTGCTTGGATGACACACTGTGAGGGAAAACATAAATGAAATAAATGAACTTTGTAGACTTGTCCACTTGTCCGAGAAAGGTAGGAGATTGTCACGTCTTGTCTCCAAGTGTTTACAATCCAGTCACAGTTTAGACAAAGAAGCAAAAGGTATTCATTTTCTGGGGACAAGGATTTTAGTTTCTCTTTGAGCCTACTGTACAGAAATACTCCCTTTATATAATCTTGAAGATGGCACACAGCACCCACTCACAGCATTGTGCTTATTAAGTGAACAAAAGAACGAGTCATGAGAGTACAGTATGAAAGTCTGATGATGACCACAGCGAGCTCTGGGAAGTCAGAGAAGCGGGTAAATCTAAGCCAGTACATAATTTACCCAGAAAAAGCTGTAGACAGTGATCTTGTGTGTTGGACTTTCCAAGAGACGAAGGCGAGCAAAGTGAATCCAATAATTAATTCACAGTTTCAGAACAATGAACTTCGAACACTGTAACTCTGACATGCTTCTCTCACATACTACACACATACAACCAACCATGCTCCTATTTAGTCCGTGATAATGTCCATATGCAGAGATCTGTTTTTCTTTGATCCAACAATTTATTTAATTATGGTCTACCTAGCTCCCAAAACATCATAAATAAATATGTAAACATTTTTTCTAGAAAATGTAGCCTAAAGTCTTCAAAGGAGTTGGATTATATTCTGTAATAATAGCAGTTGAAGGAACTACACAAGATGATTTTAGGGTATCTGGCATGTAATGAAATTTGAAATTATAAATTCAGATCCATTTGACAAGGCTCAACTCCACAGAATAGTCATAAAGATGAATTTAGAAAATTTTGTGTGGTTTTTTTTTTTATTTTTATTTTTTTTTTTTTAGAAAATTTTGTTTTGCTTAATCTTAAAATAGTATTAAGTTCTAACTAGTTGGTATTGTAACATATCATTGAGTAGGAATCAGTTCATAACTGACCCTCCAGAGGAGTTTCAGAAGCAATAAAGTGCATAAGAGGAGATTGTCCATCTCTATTCTACAGAACAGCTGATGGATGCAAACCACATGCCTTCAGGTTGACAGTGCACTCCTTATATCTAGGTTACCCTCTTCATGTTCAAAGCTAATGATGGTTAGAACAAAATGAGAACATTGAACTGCTCACTGAGAAATTGGCTATTTGAATCCACCAGCCATTCCATGGTCGAGAAATGGGTAGGCTATTCCCATAAAGATTTGCAGCCTTGGAAACCTTAAGATACAATTCTACTCTGTCCTACATTACAGATGAGTTGGAATTGATTTATGGAAATACGTTTTCAGTTGTTTAGTTAAACAGTCCCATTTGCATTTTTATTTTAAATTTTCTGGTAAACAGTAGAGCTGTAGACCGTTTAGACAAAATGCAGACCAGCAAAGAGATGCTGACTGGGAGAGCTTTCAATGCCCCAAGTGATTGTTAGCTGCCGTGGAATCAGCTCCAGTTCATCGGGACCCTCATGCCCCAAATAATCAAACCATTGTGATCAATATAGTTTTCATTGGATGATTTTCAGGATCAAATTGCCAGACCTTTCTTCCTAATCTGTCTTAGTCTGGAAGTCCCACTGAAGTTTGTCCAACACCACAGTAATATCCAAGCCTCCACTAACAGACGGGTGGTGGCTATGCAGGAGTTGCATTGAAATCTAGCATAAGTGTCCTACATGGGAAGGTTAGCATTCTGCTTTTAAACCACCACTGAACCCTCTCCTCATGGAGTTATGCTTATCTACACTGACTGGTTTTCAAATTATACTCCTGAATATATGTGTTAATTCTCTAAACTCACATGGAATATCATATATTGCTATATTTGAACTATTTCCTATATGGGTTTTGGATCCTACCTGACAGACTACATGCTGAAGACTGGAATGCAAAAAAGAATTTAAGAAGCAAATGGACATTTCCCCCAACACACCTTGAAGACCTCCACCAAACCTGTGGTTCCCTATCCAATAATTTCATCCACTCTTAGCACATCTCCTTAAATATTGCTGTGTCATCTGCAAGGATTGGAACCTCACTTCATACTTTTCCAGGTTGATCTTTATTTTAGGCTCCTTTACCATGTCAATGTTTATAAAGAAAGCATAAGATAATGGCAAAGTCCTCAGCTAATTTTTGCAATACTCATTCAACAAACATTCAATGAATTTGTTCTTTGTTAAAATAAGCACCGAAGGGAAAGTAATTTCTCTCCAGAAAGCAGGACTGTGACCCAGGAGTGGCCATCCACCTGGAGACCACTTATCTAAACTGAGAGCAAGGAACTTGTGAGGAGGTGAAGTGGCTTGTGGGTACCTGCCTTCGGAACTCAAAACTACAAAGTGACAGCAGACATCATACAAGCCAAAATCTCTGTAACAAGCCTTTTTATGACTATTCTCTTGACTAGTTAATCAAATCAAGGAGGCAAACATAGTAACCTAGCTAATAAGCATGTGTAGACCATTAGTTGAATATAGATTTATTCTAAATTTTTACCTTGTTACAGTAAAAATATATTCATGTGCATGTGCGCACTCACGCGAGCGCGCGTGCACGCGCACGCGCGCACACACACACACACACACACACACACACTAAAATTCAGACAATTCCATTTATTGCAGTATGACAGCTCTTATTTAATTTTGTTAATTTTATCTTAAGCTTGAGTTTAATAAATGAAGTAAAAGTTTGGACTTCACTAGTGAGTAATAGGTAAGTATTAATTATGTTCCTAGTGCCACAGGTATATAAGAGGAAATCTATTTTGGGGGACTTAGGATCCTACTACCTCCTAAGTCTCTACTCATAAAAGCTACATGGCATTTGTTAATGTTCTATAGT